TGTAGGATACGCCTGGTGAGGAGGAAAGAGCATACAAGGCGCCGGAGTTATGGATTTGGCTTATGGTTAGCACTTGCGACACTTACCTAGATTTTGAGAGATGCGGAACGAGGAGTGGTACAACCCTTGGATGCGTATTGAGTCGACATGTGCTTCGTCGAGTATTGCTATCTTGAGCTTCCCATCATCATCCTGCGTTCGAGAACACTGTTAGATTGCTTTGACCTTTGTTGTACATTCACATACACAATGTCACATGCATTGAAGTCACGAGAAGTTATATATTGCCGCCACTTTTCGGGAATCATGTGAAATAATCTCTCACTCTCTCTAGCGCCAGCCGTGCAAATGCCCGACCTCGATACCATGTTCGTGCGAACTCAGTCCACGTCCAAGCCGCATCGCCGAAAGAAATCCGTAAGTTTCAGCCCGGACACCAACTTTGAGCCTGGCCGGGCAACACATCAGTGGAAGCGCACAAGCCCCACATACTTGGCCGGAAAGTACAGTTGCCCACCAGATATCGGAGCCTGGCTGGACACTAGCCTAATGAGCAACGAGTTAGAACAGCTTCTCAACTTCAAAGTCCACGCCATCTTCCACGTCCGCAACGCAGACGAAATCGACGTCCTACACAATTCCTTCCACGCGCAAATGCGAGCAGGTCTGCCGCTGCTTCCCGGCTCCGAAACACATCTACGAGACCATCCACTTGGTTTTGAGGTTTTCAAAATCTACAAGGACCTGACTGAAGGCGGCGTCGCTTTTTCTAGCCTTACCGGAGGAGACTGGACAAGGGCGAAGGTGTTGATTCTCTACCAGGATAAGAGGGACAAGTCTGTGACTTTTCAGTTTGTTAATGATGCGAAGGAAGATCAAGAAGCTCATGAGTGGATACTTGAGTTGCAGCGGACTGTGCCTAAGAATAATGTTGGCTTGCCGAAGATGGCTAGGTTGATGAAGTGGAGGGATGATTGTTTTGTTGAGATGTGTGGTTTAGATGCGAATATGCAATTATAATTGAACCTTCGAGGAATATACGATGTTACAGTGAAAAGACTAGAGCTTTGGGTGCGAGGTCAGTCGTCTGATCACCGGATCCGGCAACAGTGTAATGGAGTCCCAGCGCCGCAATCGTTTCAACGTAGGGCTCGTTCTGCCGACTCAGTTGCGTTGGCGACATACAGATGGCAAAAGTCACAGTGAACGACAGCGCTCACCCGCAGCTGACAGCGCTGCCAACTGAAAAACGATTCTTTGTTCCCAAATAACTTTCAAGTACAACCATTCCAGAACCACATACATTGTTCGTCAACACATACCCCGTTACAACAGTGACTAGCAATGACGGCTGGAACGCCAGCAGTAAATGCCATGTTGGCAAGCTTACTTCAAGACAAACTTCAAGTAACGCAGTACGCCTCCCTTACTCAGGACGATTATACCAGCCATAGTCACATCGAAGAGCGACTTTCTACCGCGGAAGGCCATCCACCACTCTCTCTTAACAACTCTCCCAGAAAAGCTAGTAATTTCGACGACACTGGGCGTCGTATTGGAGCTAAATGCGGTCATGCGCTTCACCCCAACACAGACTACGATGACGAATACTGCCCAGTGTGCCGAGTCGTAGCTTATATGAATCTACTCCGGCGCATCAATAAAGATTGGGATGGTAAAGGGGGCCCTTGGAGGCCACTGACAGGTCAAAGTACTGAGGACCGAGACGCTTACTGCCATATCTGGCACAAAAGAAGACTTGAGCTTGCACAGCTCGTGATGCGTTATGAAGACGACGCAGAGAACGAAGAGCGTTGGGAACAAGAGCACCCGGAAGAAGTTGAAGCGGTTCGAAAGACATGCTCAGCAGGCAATGCAGTGGCTGTTGCGCGTGCTATGTCGAGGTATCCCGCCAGCGTCAGGACTGGCGATATCGCAGATCCAGACTGCCGCACCGGCACTCCAACAATGTTACCTGCAGCGAGTACAAATCATCACACTCCTTCATCGAAAGCAAAAGCTCCGAAGACAAGGTGTGTCCAATTCGCGTCCGACACGAACTTCCAAAACGCTCGGCCCCGTAAAACTTATTCGCGTAGCGCGAAGGCATACGTACCGGGAAAACACGCTGCAGTCTCGTCGAGCACCCTGGTCAATACTTCAAACATGACCAACGCCCGCTACAACGTTCGGCAGCTCAAGATCATCAGGGAGTTTGATTGCCCGTGGAATATCGAGCTCGTCGACGCCATCGCTTTGTCCAACCATGAGGGTATCGCCGAACTGCATGCTCGGTGGCCCGAGATCGGGGATAAGATATCGCGTATACACGATGGAAAAGATGAGGTGCCGAATGACACGTTTATGAAAAGTCTGAGCACTGCGGATTACTTACTCGTGAAGATTGATGGGAAAGATCAGATCACGCATGTTATACCGTATACAACGAGGGATATTGAGAATCTTCCAGGAGATGATGCGGGAGAAGTTCGCGTAATGGAGAATAAAGGCTGGACGTCGCATATAAAGATTATGTCGGAGGAATGTCGTGATGAGATCTGGAATACATACGAATGCGCAGGAGGCGCGAGGAGGATGGAAAGTAATGGGCGTAAGTAGGAAGATGGCGAGGGTTTTGGGGCCTCAGACGCGAGGGCTTGAACGCCACAGTTGTATACAAGGAACACCTGGGCCCTAGGAGGTCTTGCTGAGCCAGCTGTAACGAGAGGATATGTGGACGGTCCCCATGTGACGCGCATCCATCTGAGCAACCACCGAGTGGGTATGACGTAGACGTAACGCTCTCGACTGAAGCTGGTAGATTCATCCTACAATGCATTGTTAGTGGCCTTGACTCTTCTGGAATGATTCATCGCAATGACCCAAACACTCGTGACTGCACACTGTGCAAACACCCTGTTCTCAGTAGATCTTCCACTTGCCGTTCGCTATTGCGCATTCACTCCCAGAACAGTCGACGGAAACAAACTCAAGAACAAGCACGGGCTTTCTGGCAATGTTTTGCAATCCTCCAATACTCACTCATTCACGCCAGCGCAACCTTCCACATCATGCCCTCTTCCATAGCCGAGTACGTTCCCGCAGCCATTCTCTTCTCGCCTGAAGATGTGCAGCACTTCACTAAGTGGCAGGAAGAGCACGGAGTAGGCTCGCTGCCTGGTATTGTTCGAAATGCCACAGAGTATTGCGAGTTTCGTGCATATCGACGCACTGACGAAGACAACAAAAAGCTCAAGCGCGGTAACGCACGGACGCGTAACAGAAATCCTGCAAACATGTGCGGACATGGACTTCATCCTTCAGATATCATCACCGGCGGATATTGCCCAGTCTGCGAAGTGGAAATGTGTCTCCAGTTCCTCGATGCGCTCGGCAAGGTATTCCAGAGATGTGGCGGCCCTTGGCAGCAAGCGCGCGTTCGCAATGAGTTCGCTCTAGTCAGACAGTGTTGGCACCTGGCGCGCTATCAGTTAGTCGAGCTTGTGGAGCTTCTGGAGTACTCGCAAAAGTACGAGGAAGCTTGGGAGAAACAACATCCAGGCGACGTAGGGTGTATGTGGACGACCAACAGCTCTTCGAAAGCGATACGTAATGCCCAGATGCGAACGAAATACCCGGCTGTACTGACGCATGTCAGCTTCAAGTCTGCAGTGAAGCGAAAGCCCTCGTCGTTGGATGTAGCGAGAGCGAAAGTCGCTAAGGCTCGAGTGAAGAAGCACGTCACTTTCACACCAGACACCATTACCTGGCCCACCCGCAGCAACGCCTGCTTTTGTCGCAACCCGGCGCAGCGCCAAAGTTACCAACCCGGTAGGCATGCTGCTCCACTTGGCCTGGAGTGGATTGACACATCCAGAATGTCTTCTTCTATAGCAGATCTTCTGAACCTGAAAGTATACGCAACCTGTATCCAGGCTGAATTTGACGCCTTGGTCGACGACTCGTCTCTCAGACCCCTTAGTCGCTATCAGGGTATACTATCCCTTCACCCCGGTATAAAAGCAATCTCAGCGTTTGCCAACCGGTTCTTGCAAGGGGCGGAAACGGCGCGAGAGGAGATGCTCGAGATGATCAGCGTGGCCGATGCACTCATAGTGCTCATTGGTGAAGATGATGTGGTGTTGGACCTGCAACTCTCTGTTTCGGACGATATAGAGGACGAGGATGGTTATGGCGACGAAGAGGTGGATCAGACAAGGTGGACCTGCTGGTCTGAGTGCGGCAGTGAGGCAAAGCCTGACGTAGGTGGAGCAGCTGGTCTAGCTGCCAAATTCGCTGTTGACGACGAGAAGGCGCGGAAATGTCGGAAGATGGATGAGTAGTATAAGTGTGACGTACGCTAGGTTTGTAGATGTTGAATAGTAGCATATTGAACTGTCTAGACCTGAAGTCTGTACAGTAAGTAGGCATACCAACCGTAGTCTTCTTAGTATACGTATATTGCGTGCGCTTTTGATTGTGGGTGAGTGGCGGTTGATTTCCGCGGTCGAGGGGAGAAGCCAGATAAAAAGATTGGCATCGGAGGATAATTGAATGCATGTCTTGATGGTCCTTTCGCTGGTGATGCGCAGTGGTAGGCAGAGATGAAGTTCGCGTAACGCGCCGAAAGACGCGCCAGTCTCGCGCCTGCCCAGGTGGGCTGCTCCGCCCCGCCGCATTTCCATCTTCTTTGTTCACCCTTCATTTGCCACCGCCCAATAAAAGATTCTGTATGTAAATGAACCTGCAGCCTCGTGCATCGACTGATATGCGCATGAACTCCAGGCAGGCATCAGGCCCCCAGTGTAGCGATGCGCGCTGGACGGCGGGCCGGCTACGCATGTCACCGGCAACAGCACTTCCTAAGCAGCGAGGCATCCCGTCGCAGCCTTGCGCTAGGCTTGTACAGCTCTAGCAATCCGCCCAGATGCTCTGCTCGTCGCAACATAAAGCGTGGCATGCGCCGTGCACGTTGAGAGCCATCCCATCTCAACACCAGCATGGCTCTCATTACCCTGCCACCGGAGCTCAAGCTAAACATAGCTGACAGCTTGGACCCGGACTCGACTCTCAATTTCGCCCTTACCTGCAAAGACCATGCGACACTACTCAAATCCTTGTTGAGACAGCATGCACGACTACTTGCGAAATGGAAGGTCATCGACACGACCGATGCTCGTACGCTTCTTTGGGAGACCTTGAGAGACGTGATAGCAAACCCTCGACTAGGGTGGTACATCAGGGAACTCAATCTTCCACCAAGCCGGCAATACAATTGGAATGCGAACGAGAGTTTGCATGTTTCCCACCCCAAGCATAACGTTGTGCCATCCGAAGAAGACAAGGCCTTGTTCATTGAGGCAGCAAGAGGCCTGCAAGATCTGTATCCGGGGTTCGGCGTGGATGAATTGGATCTGCAAAGACGATACTCCCATGCCATCAACTTTTCACCTCGCCCGTACGACACGATTGGATCCATCGAAGATCGAATTCACGCAGGCTTTGAGGACGCCATAATCGCGGTCCTTCTGCACTATCTACCTTATCTCACGACCATCAGTCATTCAGAAGTCGGCATGGAAGACTGTCTGGAACTTGTTCTATGGCAGATCGCGTTAGGATACAAGAACCCGGTCATGGCACCAAAGCTCCCCCTACAACATCTCAAGACGGTCGCCGTGCGTTCTCCCCGGGACGAAGGAAGCAGCTCTCCTGATTGGGCGTGTTTTTATCTCAGTATCCCTTCGGTAAAGACGTTTGTAGGGCAAGCAATGGGTGGTTCGTCTAGCGAGGACGTCCTACGCACTTTATTCCCCACAGGTGCTGCTCCGTGCTCCAACGTAGAAGAACTACTCTTCAGACGTTGTGTCTTCGATGTGGATGGCTTGGCAACCATACTCGCGAACATTCGGCATCTGAAGAAGCTAACGTACGACGGTGGTGATGCTCTGGTGTCCGAATCGAGCTGGTACGAACCAAAGAAAGTCATCCGAGCAGTCGCTACACACGCCGGCCGCTCGTTGGAAGAGCTCATGCTCAGCGAGGAGGACACGGATGTAAGTCACCAACCCCCGTCAATGTTCCGAACTGATATGAGTTGACAGAGTGAACCTCCTGAGGATGGCCCAGCGATTGTTTCTCTCCGAGAGTTCCAGAAGCTCCGTGTACTCCACTGTCAATGGCGCATGCTTCGCCCCGACATGGCAAAAGAGGGAGACCCTGAACATGACGAGCCGCTAGAACAAGGCTATTACCGAAAGGAGGATTATGAACAGATTGATGTCGACTTCGACGTAAGGACCCTTCTCCCAGAGTCCTTAGAAGAGTTTTATATGAACGGCGATTTCCACGACTATGATGAATGGGAGCACATGGAAAATACAGTCAAAGCCTCAAGCGCCTTCACGCCCCGCCTGAGTATGGACAAGACCTGTATTAAGAAAGGAGGTTATTGGAGTGATCGAATCGGTACCGCAGAGGAACCGGATGGAGCCTGGTCTCATCCGCTCGGCCGCCTTTTCGAAGGTCATCATGGTTAAACTCGACAAACTATATGTCTCATCTCATTCTCGATTGTAACAGGGGCACCAAGTTTCGGGTCTGTGCGCGCTTGCTAGGCACACGAGAATTGCTATAGCAGTGCGCACGGCTTCTCATCGTTCATCGTAGCGGGTCCTCTTCTCTCAATGACGCACTGGAAGAATTGACCATACGCCAAGAACAATGACGAGAACTAGAGGACTGCTGGAGCCTGGACACCCCTTTCGTATGTGTATATAAACGCGCGCTCTCCGCAGCTTTTCAAAAGATCTTATACCACACCTCTACCGAGCACACTTCTACAGCGCGCGCTTCTCCTGATACCTGTACTGTCAGTTATCGGCGAATATCCAGTGGACGACACCAGCACCTAACCCCATCAAAGACAATACCGCAATGGCTCCCAGAACAGTCTATACGTTTGGAGGCCGCTACAAAAGCATTGCTGCTGTCGAAGATGCGCCATTCGCGGAGTTCATCTCTGTGAGAGAAACCGGCCTCAAATTCAACGTCGTCCACCCAGTCCCGGTTACGTATCTGCGTGACCTGAACTCTCGTGAGCGCGCTGCAGTCCACAAGCACATCACTTCTCAGCTATTCAGCAACAGCTACAAAGACGTCGGATTTGTCAAAGCTGCAGAAGAGACCCTGGGTCTATTGGAGATAGTCCAACAGGATATGGACCATGATCGCTCGACCACTGCGGACCTAACGACCACGGATACGACCAGCAACCGGACTTACCACACGGCAAGAGAGCATCAGGAGTCCCGAGGCAAACATTCCTCCATGCACGTGGAGGCTGACACCAATGTCATGAGCGGCTCAAGGTCAGGCGCCCTTGGGCGTAGCCGGAATATAAATAAATGGAAGAGTACCGTACCCCCTGGCTACCCTCCACCCCCCGTTAGTACGCCAAGCTCGGTCTTTCAGTCTGAGAGTGGTAGTAGATCGCGATCATCTAGCTCCAGCAAGATGCGAAAGCCAAGCAGACACACCGACTTCCTTAAGGACGCAAAGCTCGACGAGAAGACACGCGTTATAGTCGTGGAGCACAGTGCTGCAAGCCGCGAACTGGCGCTTCAGGAAGAGCATCTTGCCAGTCTCGAGTCGCTTGCTTTGACCGTCACCAGCTCAGCTGCGCGGCGCGATCTATACGGCGCCATTCGGAAAGCTCGCAGTGCAGTCGAGAAGGTTCGCGTCCTCGAACGCAAGTGCAAGGGCGCCTTATCAGACTCCCGGGCGCTCGTAGTGGATGCTCTTGAGCTTGCTGATGATCTTTGGGAGACGTCAGATGCGGCGGCGGATGAAGCATCAACAGTTTCATCGCCGACAACGATTTCTTCGCGGACAACCGATTCTTCGCGGACAACTGGTACTTCCCCGATACAGCGGAGTACATCCACTGCCCCATCGGAGCCTGAATCTTTGGTACCGGCCCGGTTCGCCTATCCCTCCGAAGTTGTATCGTTGAAGCAGGAACTGCAAAAGATCGACGATAGTCTTTCTGAGTCGATGAGGACTTTGAACAGGGTCATCACTCGACCCAGTAACCGAGCGGGCGTCATCAAAAGCATAGATCGCGCACGGGCATGCCTTGACAAACTTCACGTCGCGCGAGAGCGCTTTTCGGGCTTGGATGACGAGAAGATACGTAAATTCGGGGCTGCCACACTTGCAATCGCGCGGACAAGGCATCAGGAAGTATTGCGCGTTCTAGATGCAGCCAAACAAGAGCAATTACGACTGGACGGTCCTACGCAAGCGAAAGGTAGTGGAGGAACACGAGACACTGAGCGTCAGCAGCCACCGCGAATGGAAGAAGAGCTCAATCAAACCATTCATCGTATCTCTGAACTTGAGCTTGCCGACGCCAAAGAGCTGTTGCGACAGCTAAAAGACGCTCTTGATCAGATTGTTCCGCACAGGGTTGCTGAGGCGCACAGTGGACGCCGCCAAATGGGTCCTAGCTTGTATGACCAGTTTCTGCAGGCAGGTGCACCTGAGGCTTACGGGGAGCCAACGTCGTCCGTAACGGGGTTGCCGCCATCTCGGTACCTGGATTGGGATGAGTACACGTGTGCACGATATTTTGAAAGTAGTTGGTCCTGGGAGGATTGGGAATAGCCATCTCCATACAGCATACACTACTCGGGCAGCCAGAATATGTAGACAAAAACACCTCAGTCTTGTGTCAGGTTTTCTCAACTGCACTTCAAATCAAACTAGCGAATTGATGAAACTCTCCATGGTACACCACTAATATTTCTGCAGCTAGGGACCTCAGACATCGTAGAAAGGGTTAGATACTGCCGATGTCCTTAGGAGATTGTGAAGTGGCTATTGTTGACTGACAGATTCTGCTGTTAGATCGCCGAAGACGACAAAACTCGGGACCGATGGGTCGCGACCACGGTGGAGGTGGCTGCAACGGGTGGCTCGAGAGACTGGACAGCTCACACACGTTTGATCTTTTCACTAACCGTACTTTGTTCCCTGATTTTTCCTTTACCTGCAGCCACTGAGGAGAAGTGAAAGGTCCAAGTTGTGAAGTTACTCGATCTGCCGATGGCTATGCGACCGCGTTCGGGCATAGCTATATAACGCGCGCCTCCTTCACAGCTATCGACGATTTGTCTACTTCTACTCCAACTCTGGTGTAAATTACAGCTTTGAGCGATATCTACAAGCTGCGAACGAGTTACGACGGTATTATCAGCTCGCCATCAACCCATCCAAACCCCACCCACCACACCAGTCCCAAGCGCAAATTCTCTTCTCAGACTACTTGCAAGTCTACAATCTTGGCCCCTCTGATAACAATAAGATGGCTTCTAGGGCCCGCACACTTCACACCATTTACGGGCAATACCGTACTGCAGCGGCTGTCAGCAGGGCAGCTAACGCCGATTACATCCCGTTGAACGGCGATCGTAACATCAATGCCGTACACCCAATTCCAATTGACTGGCTGGACGAAGAGCTATTGCCGAGCGAGCGCGATCAAGTCCGGGAACATGTTGCATCTCTACTGAGTAGTCAGCGTCGCCAAGTTCCCAGTTTCGTCGAGGCTTTACAGGGCACCATGGAGAACCTGAACACCATCAGAAATAGGGGTACAGCTAGTCGCAGCATTCCTGTGCGTCGATCTGGAGGCGAGACTATCGATCGTCTGGCGCACGACTTCGACGCTTTGACCACGGGACAAGCGCATGGCATCAACTCACCGTCACGTAACGTGCGATTTGCAGAGACGGTTCGGACAGATCGTGTCTCACGAGACCCCACGATCCCTGGTCCCTATAGTCCCCAGCCGTCCTCGCCGACTCCTCGAAGTATTATGCGCTCGCCCGGACATTCTCGTGCGAACTCAGCCGAAGCGATTTTGAGCCATGGAGCTTTGCCTCCACACGATGCTCGAGTGCCCTCGCCCACCGACGACTACAGTGCAGAGCTTGCCGCACTGGATGTACAACTCGACGAGATCTACGCGGCTCTCAACAACCAATCTCGCATTGAAGACCATGGGTTATCGGAGCAGCGGTTCGATAGCCTCGCGCAAGCTCGCTCCATGATTCGTCGCCTGAGAGGACTACGTCGTCTCAACCAAGTGGACGTTGACACGGCTCGCGCTGCTGTACAATCAGTGATGACAAGCACTGGACGAAATGACACGCAGCGCGCTGCTGTCATGAACGCTGATAGTAGACCGGAACACATGGATCGTGAGCTGTCTCATGGTAATTGTGGGATGCGGAGGCCGCGTCCAGTGAGTGGTAGCTTCAGCAGCTTAGGGGAGCGGCTACGCCTCGCGACGGTACAGCATGACCAGCGTCTGTTCGCGCATTCCAACGGCATGTTTCCAGTTTGGAGTTCACCTCCCGTTGAGCCTCAATATGGGGACGGCATTCAACGGCCTGACGGTACCATATACTGCTGGGGGCCTATGGGCGGATGGCTGATGTATCATGGCCGTGATGGGGCTTATTTTTGTGAGTAGGCGTGTGATTCTGTGCCTGGGTAACATACAGAGCGCAAAGGTCGGGTCAGGGAGTGCGCATCCATAGAGGAACCAAGATAGAGGCAGAATCGGACTCTCAAATCTTTCGAATGTACTACATCAATGTGCTTGTTTATTATCAGGGCGCGCACACGTGCCAAAAACCGGAGTGACGAACCAATTAACTAGGCTGTGTTCAAACATTCCGTTGGCGCTAGCTGCTCCGAGGTCCTTCCGGCGACGGGCTGACCTGAAGCACTTCGCGCTTGCCATCTCCACACAACACACGCAATGCGCGTCATTACACTTCCCTAGTCTCAGTGACCAGCCCCGACGAGGACTAGACCGCAGTTTGCGTCAAAGGCGCACTCTATTCGTTCTTACTTTCCTACATTCATGACACCTGGTACCTCGTTCCCTTAGTCATTGCAGCTCCGCGCCTCATTCTCCAAGCTCCGCTTCAATAACACTCTCAGCGACCCCAGGGTAATTGTAGATGGCTAAGAACTTCAGACCAGCCTTTTCAACTATCGCTCTCCACTCCGCTTCTGTTCTCTCGCGCACCGAAAGATGTGCTAACATCATCATATCCATAGAGGTGGCGGCGATGGTGGGCTTTTCTTCTGAAAGCACGATCTCGTTCAGCAGCACCCGCGAGTAGCCGGGTTTCAGCGCGGGCTTCAAGCTTTCGAGAATTTTGACGCCTTCTTCGTCATTCCAGTCGTGAAGAATCGAGTGCAGTGAGTACGCCCTGGCTGACTGAATGGGCTGAGGCGTATAGAAATCGTGGACCTGACTCTCAAAAGGAAGCCCTTCCTTATCCTTGATAGCCGCGATGACTGGCTCTTGATCCTGAAGAATAACTTTGCCCGGATGAGACTGGTGCTGCGCCACGAATTGCTGGACATCGTGCCCACGACCGCCACCGACATCTACCAGAAGGGCCTCGCTGCAGCTGGAGTCAAAGCCATTGATCAGACGTTCTGCGACCGGATAGAAGCCGGGGTCGAACCAATTCGCCTTGCCTGCGCGATACACCGACATGAAGTTGTCGAACTCGTCGAGATGAGGAGGCGTTGCGACCAGCCATGGGAAAAAAGGTAAATCTGTTCCATGCGCATCCTGCAGTGGTCCTTCTGTAGGCGACGTGGGTAGCCTGTAACCAGTCTTCTTGAAATACTCCGGGAAGCCATTGAACGACGGTCGTGACACGTCGTAGCAGAAGTCAATGCTCTTCTGATAGTTGTCCGCTGCGAGTTCATGGCTCAGACGGTTACCGAGGAATCTACCGTTCGAGAAAGAAACGATCTTCATAGCGATTAGGTGACGCATGATCCGTTGCAATAGAATGGGGTCAACGCTCGTCTTTTGAGCAAGGTCGTCCGGACTAACTCCGGCATCGCCTGCATCTCTAAGATGCTGGAAGAGTTTGACTTCAACAGCGAACTTGCAGTGCGCTGACAATGCCGGCTGCAGACTCATCAGTATGCTGGTAACAGTGCAGGTTCAGTCACGAACCTCGGCCCAGAAGCTTCTCTGCAGGAATTCACTGGGTATCTCGAGTGCCGCAACCAGGTCTCGACCAAGCTCGATGAGACTTTCTCGCGAGCCGATTTGCTCGGCTTCGTAAGCTCTGCCGGCGGCCGCAACACGCTCGAGGATATCTGGTACAGGTATTGACATGTCTGGCGACGAGTGTTCGTTCTGCAATGTTTGTCAAAGGATAAAGAAAGCAGCGCGGGGCAGCCTTCTATTGCAATCCTTCGATCCTTTCGCACGATAGCCATCGTTCGGTGGGGTTCTTGCCTTCCTATTGCGCCATGCGCCGAAGTACACATGACTCGTTTCCCGCCTGATCGCTCAGCGCTTAGTCGTCTCCGCGATGTTTGGATCTTAGATCAGCTGCGTTGTGATACAAAAGCCTGATATCCGCAGTCTCTTTACCGTCTTTTGCTCGTCCGACCCAGTGGACCTCGGGAGTGTTCAACAACGCGAATTTCACACCCGCTGTCTTGGATCAATACCTTTGAACTATCGCCTGCCAAACGCTTGTCGCCTGCGTGCTTGTTACATTTGCCGGCATGACGTTTCCGGAGACAGGCATCCGTCCGTGCCGCCCCGTCTATCGTTGGCCCACTTGGTCTGGCACTAGATCCTTCGCGAATGCATGAACAAACACTTCGAGCCGCACCTGTTGAAGCACCAAGAGCCACATTGCCGTAACTAATTACAAGGTCTAACTGGGTTAAGTTCTAAGATTGGATGTATTTTTCTTCCTGGAAGAAATAAACACTCTATAAAGTAAAGCTGACCACCTTAAGATATGTAGCATGGGAGTAGAGAGCCTCAATTTTCAGCTTACGTTCGACGAATATCTCCTGCAAAGGGGTTGTATTGGGGCTGTCCTTTCAAGGTATCAGTTCCAGTATGGCCTTGTAGAAGGTCGTCTCTCCCGTCGTCTTCCCATAACGAGTAGTTCAATCTACCGACGTCTGAGATCGGTGTCTGAGAGCCTACTGCAAACAGTACATTAACGATCGTTCCATCGTACGAAGGACCGACGTGATCATAGACACGCCTCGCAAATTTCCATGGATTTGCGAGCTTCCCAAAATTGATTCGAAGCAATGTCCAACCTTCCTTGTCCTTCGAAGAGGGAGACATGCCATGCTTCAAGGATAGTTTCACTGCATACATGCCAGTCTTTTCGCAAGCCACACGTAGAATGGAAATCTCAGCACTATCCACCGAGCCTTTGTTAGCGGCGAAATGATATCTTTTTTGAGAAGCTCCAGCACGCTGAAAGGTCGCAGACGACCACCCCAGGGAGGTTTTCAACAACTGTTTCATACGCTATTGATACTTATTGTACCAAGCTTGAAGAATACTAAACCCTTACGGATGTTACGCCAGCGTCCCGATATGCAGTTGCCTCGCATCCTGCGAAAAGACTTGCCTATCTCGAGCTCGAATGGAGTCTTGGGGAGAGATGGATCGCGGAGGCAAAGCGGGTAAGTCACGATGTGTACCCAAGCTACGAAGTAGACGTAGATGATCCAACACAGAAGGAGGACAATGAGGGTACTACTAATAGCGATACTGCGCTTGATCTCTTCTAGCAAGCTCGTAAGCGTGGTCATTGGCCCGCCGCAACTTCAGTGTCTACCACGCCGAAGGAACCGCACAACACTGGCCTGTAGACCTGATAAGTTTATGGCTAGTGCCAATAAGGCCGATCGGGATGTTGAGAATCCTCTGAGGTGTTAGGTTCACTATGCATCTGACTACCCTGTGCTCTCCGAGATGGCGTTGAATCCGCCCATTGAATATGGAAGGGATGAGAAAGAGGTCAGACACTGCTGCAGCTATTGAATGTCAACATCATTTTTTGATTAGCAACGAGCGCACAATATCCGCGTAGTCTTGATTTAGCATAGTACGTGTACATGATCCCAAGCCACGTAAACTAGATAAGCCGCAATGTGCTTGCGATCCGACCCTATGTACTTGTCTCACTGGTACGCAACCTGCACGCGATTATCTTCAATCTTGCGAGCTGGCCATTTGTGGTGCACGGATTTCTTGATTGACGCAAGGCTGATATTGAGGCTGGGAAACCTTGTCATCCAACTACTGGTTTTTATGGAAATAAACATATCGGTGTACCACAACTCATCTCTACTAGTATGTCGCACCACGACCCGTGTAGCCATAGCCGCACGGGTTGTCCGAATCATGCGCAATGCCATACCACGTGCCCCTGGTCTCCTGGCTGTCCCATCCCATACCCTTGCCATCGTTGCAGTCGTTGATGACGCGGTTAATGCTCCACTCAGCGTCCTGGCAGGGCATGTAGCCAGTGCGGCAGAAGCTATTGCAGGCGTAGGCGACAATACCGTTGTACGAGTTGCTGGAGACGCGTTTGGCGTTCCCTGCTAGGTTGCCGTTCTGGCATTGACTCATGAGGTCTTTCAGTGCGGCGCGAGCGTTTCCTTGGCTAGACTGGTCGGAGGAGGAGCTGCAGTGTCTGCCGCTGTTAGAGCGGGAGCAGCCTCGTGCCTTGGAGGAAACAGAAACATGTTAGCTAGGCGCTTTTGTGGCCAGGGTCGTGATTGCTCAAGTAAGCCTTACCTGAAGGTCGACCGTGGCGGCCATGATGGTGCTGCTTTGGAACAGGAGCGTTCCGGCGGTGGTAATAGCGAAGAAGCGCATGATGAGTAGGTTGTTGCTGTACAGTACGAACTTCGATATGGAGACAAGTGTGCTAGACTGAAAGACCAGGTCGACCTGTGATGACTCGATGTCGATGGAGAGAGTGGTGTTCTCACATCACAAGGAACACGTCGTACTTATACACATTCGTTCCATGCTGGATAGATCACATGATATTTTACTGTGCAAGTGCACTTACTTCTAAGTTTGGAGCTCCTGTACACGAACAACACGACACAACAACAGTAGATAGCAATGCAGACAGCATCAGTCATCATCAGTACGAAAATTGACCAATCACACGGCCCCGGTGCTTGTTTTGCAGCGGAGGCATAGCGCTAAGCTGAGTACGGAAGGTGACAGCACGTGCGGATGCTGTTTATGCCTGCTAGATGAAGTCGTCACATTTCTAGACGGGTGGTGGCGTTGTCAGAGTGAGCATTTAATAGCTCGCTCAACCAACCCAGCTGCATGGAGTGTGCTGCCTTCCCTTTCAAGAAAACGCTAGGATAGCTTATTCCAACGACTCTAAACGTGCGTGTCCGTTCCGGCTTCCATCCAATGTCCAGTTCTCGGTTCGTTCTGGCAGCGCATCCACAAGCGGAATGTCTCCTAGATTAGCAGAAGTGGCTGGTCGTCTCGCCTGACATCGATAGTACTGCCAGCCACAATAAGCGCTTGCGCGATATCTTCAGCTGCTGCATGAAAAGCCTCATTAGAAAGTTCGCTACGGCACGCATCTACGCCGCTCTGTAATTGAAGGCGAATGCCTTGTTTTGGACATAGTATGCAGCGGCTTCAAGATCTGTGTTAGGTGAAGTGACTGCCTTCGATGTTGACATTAGCCCCGGCTTCCAGGAGGACTTCCGCAATATGGACATGGCCTCCCATTGCTGCCGCACGTACGGCATTATCAAAGCGCCGATTTCCGTTGAGAATTGCTACTCGATTGACCAGCAGATGGCACAAGCAGCTATGGCCTTGAGAGATGCACATCGTAGAGGGATACTCTACCCAAGATTTGGGCTCCTCGGCGTCGCCTTTTTGGTTGAAAGGGTACCTAGGTATCAGTTCAATGTTTCCTGCCCATGTAACGAGCTGAGAGCCATGCTGCCCGCGGGTTTCACAAGCCTAATGATGAACTTTCGAGATATGTTCTTGAGACTTGGAACTCTGCCACTGACGACAACGCTAATTGTCAGTATCGACTTCGCGGGTGTCGCATATCGCACAAGTGTATGCGCCTTAAGCGCTTCGTTGGCTTTAGAGAAGATAGTCCCACAGACTGTTTTAAGAATCGGTCGCATTTGGCACTGCTTGTGGTGATTGTACTGTTATGTAGAATAGCAAGAGCCGCGTTCTCGCGGCTTTCTTAACACGCAGCATAAACAGCACTCTTAAATCTACTATAAGTTCTATAATTAGTACTATAATCTAGAGGTGTTTTAAGAGCTTTTGTAAAGCCTTAATAAATAGTGTAATAAGAAGTACTACTAAGTCTACTATATTTAATTAATACTAGTAGCTTAATTAAGTAGAAATATTATAGATTAGAGAAAACTAAATAAAGATAAAGTATAAAGATATATACGTAATTAAGTTTATTAAGTATTTATTATAAGTAGTAGTATATATATATAAAGATAAATATAAAGTATAGAGCTCTTCTAGTCTACTTAAAATTAAGTAGATTCTAGAATATAAAGCTAAGTGCCTAAGTCTCTAGCTAATATTTTAATGTTTATAGTTTTTTATAAAAAATTACTTTTTTACTATAATCTTTTAATATATTACTTATTTATAGATATTTATTAAGTATATATCTAGTATTAAAAGTACTTAAGTATATTTACTAGGTATTATAGAACTACGTTTATAATATTTTTCTATTCTCTATTACTTACTTCTTTTATTTTATTAGTAAGTACTTTTTATCTCTTAATAAATATTATAAATTTAATAGGTTGTTATATTAATATCTTTTAATAGCTACTAGTAACTTATTAGTAACTTTAATAATTAATCTTTAACTTTTACTTTAGCTCTTCTTCTTAGTAATATATAACTATTTCTATAGCTTTAGAAAAAGTTAAAAAAGCTTAATAGCTATAGTCTAATCTAAAGTAGCTTAAATAACTATCTTAATTATAAAGTTAAAGTATAAGTTACTAATAATAAAACTATAGCTTAATTTAATATTAAAAAGACTTACTTTATATTATTATTTAGCTAGTATATTTTTTATTAAGCTATCTATTTTAATATAGTAATAATAAAGTTATAAAAAAAGAAATTAAGTAGTAGATATAAGCTTAGACTATACTCTCTAAGAAATAGAGTATATAAATTACTATAAATAAGAAGAATATAAACTTTATAGAAAGAATATTAAAAGATAGAAATAGAGCTTAGTTATTACTAGTACTATATTAGGTTTATAATATAATCTAGAGATAATTATATATATATAGCTATTCTATTAGTTCTAGTTATAAGTAGTAATAAAGATATTTATAAGTAATTATAGGCCTTAGTCTAGTCTAGTCTATACGTAATTAGTAGTAATAAGAAGTTTTAGATAAAATCTACCTAAAAAAGAATTTTTTTATCTCTACTAGCTAATAAGCTATAATATTAAATAGAAAAAGTAGCTATATAAAGTTACTATAGAATAACTAAATCTACTACTATATTATAGTAAATATAAAGTATTTAAAAAATATATCTTTATTAAGATTACTATATAAAGTTACTAGACTATGTTTTATTACTCTACTTTGTAAAGAATAGAAAGGTAACAAGAACTATTCTCTAATAATAGAATATAGCTTTGTTAGAACAAAGTAGTTAAATACTATAATAAATAGTATAACTAAATAAAGATTATAATAAAGTAATTACAAAGTAGATAATAGATAAAAAGTAATAATATTATTACTAGGTAAAAAATAACTATAAAGAATTACTATTTCTTTTATAGAAAATAGCTACTAAAATAATTATATAAATATCTACTTATTTTTACTTAAAAATAAGAATTTATAATTAAATCTACTTAATTCTTAGATTTATAATCTAAGTCTACTAAATTCTTCTTATCTTTTAAATTTATAATTTAGACTAGTACTAATTATATTAGTCTATACGTTATATTATATAGACTAATAATTAGTTTATTACTAGATTTTTTAGTAATTATAAAAAGAGAGATAAAAAAAATAAGAGTTATTATATTATATAATAACTCTAATATTAACTAAGCTAAGAAAAATAGAGGTGTTTTAGAATCTTCTAGTATAGTAGATTAAAACTAGCTACTAAAATCTTAATTACGTAAGTAATTAGATTTACTAGAAAGTTTTCTAATTTATTAAGAAATAATAATAAGTGTAATTTTAACAAAGCTTAATAATAAAAAAATAATAATAACTAAGTTATTATAATCTTTATACACTCTCTTAAGCTACAGTTCTAATAACTAAATAATAAGAAAATACAAGTAGTTTTTATAACTAACTTATTAATAATAATTTATAAGAAGTTTTAATAACTATCTTAAAACTAAAAATCTATTTCTATTTCTATTTCTATGTACTAATATAAATAGTTATATAATAATAACTAAATATAAAGCCTAGACTAGAATCTTAAAGGTATAAGAACTTAGAGGTTAAAAACTTAAGCTCTGTAGTAATAGTATTAATATACTATTTTTATTATTATAAATAATAATAATAATAACTAGTTATAAATAATTAATCTAGTTTAACTAGACTAATTCTATTTATAAAATTCTTAAATTTAGAATAACTAGTAGGTTTAGTTAGATTATCTACTAGAATAGTACTAGTATTCTTATAAACTAGATTTATTTTATTATCTAGCAGATTTTCTCTAATAAAGTAATAAGTTATATCTACGTGCTTAGTTCTAGCGTAAAAAATAGAATTTTTAGCTAGTTCTATAGTACTTAAAGAATCTATTTTAATAATATTAGTTTTATTAAAAATAGAACTAAACTTTTTAATAGAATTATTAATAAAAAGATCTTTAATAAAGTTATTAAGATATAAACTTTCTTTAGTAGCTTCTTTTAAAGCTTTATATTCTACTTCTATACTAAAAATAGCTATAGTTTTTTATAGTTTTAAAATCTAACTAATAGCTATATTATTATTATAATTACTTTTAAAATTATTTAAAATAAATATATTACCTATAGTAGATTTTTAAGAATCTGAATTACCTCTCTAATCTAAATTGCTAATACCTAATAAATTAATACTATTATTAATATTATTAATAGTATTATTATTAGAATTATTAGATTCTAAGAATTGTAGAGTTAAATCTAAGCTATAATTACTAGTCTTTAATAAATAACTAAATATAAAATTTAAGTATTTATAATATTTTATACTAGAATTAGACATAAATCTAGCTAGGTAATTTATACTATAAACTAGGTTAGGCCTAGTAAATATAGTTAAATAAATTAAACTACCTATTTCTTATTAATAGTCTTTAATAATAGAACTATCTTCTAGATTTTTAGATAATTTAACTTCTATAGGCAAAGGTATAGATTTAGGCTTATTTAATAGCTTATTATATTTAAATAATAGCTTATTAATAAAGCTTCTTTACGTTATAATTAAAGATCTCTTAGATCTATTTCTAATTATTTCTACGCCTAGAAATTCTTTAATCTCTTCTAAATTAGTTATTTCTAATTTAGAAGTTCTAGTTAAATCTTTATATAGATTATTAACTAGATTTATATTTTTAGTAAATACTAATATATTGTCTACGTGTGTAGCTAATATAATAAGTTTAGTATTATATATAAAAATACTATTATCTATATTTAAAACTTTAAAATCTAGTTTTTCTAGAATTTTAGTTAAAAATAATTACTACTACCTAGAAGCTTATTTTAAACTATATAAAGCTTTATTTAATCTATAAACTAGATTATTATAGTCTTTATTTAAAATAGT